CACACACACACACCTGGCACACCTCACACACACACCTGGCACACACACCTGGCTCACGGCACACACACACACGTGTTTAGGGCCAAAACTCCAGGGCTGGTGTAACTCACTCTCGCTCCCTTGGTGCCAATGGGGCCAGATCCCCAGCGGGTGTAAAGTTACTCCGTGTTGGCCGCACTCCGGCGTGTGCTCTCCGGCAAGGCTCCCCAGCGACAGCATTAGCCGGCACAGAGCCGGGGAGCTGGGCAGGGGCGGTTCAGGAGGAGGCCAGGATGGGGTGTGGGTGCGACCACGTCCCCCTTTCCTCCTCCCCTGGGGCAGCTCCCCCCCCGACACACACTTTACCCAGGTGCAAACTGCTCCACAAGGTGCAAAGCCTGTTCCAGAGTGCTCAGCGCCCCACTGCTCCCACCAAACCAGCAGGGAACCCCCCTCCACTGAGAGCAATGGGGCGTTCGTTAGTCCCCCAGCCCCGCCCCGCATCACTGGCACAGACCCAGCTACCAGCGTTAGGCTTTGGGTGGACTGGGCCTTCCGGCAGGCTGGTAGTGGGGTCCCGTTGAGTTGCCCAGCTGCGCTAACTCCATGAAAGGCCACGGCTTTGGCCCACGGGCTCAGCGAAGGGCAGGGGGAGGGGGCAGACAGCAGGGGGTTGGTTTCCTAGGGGAGGAGACGCACGAGCCCCCTTTGCTGCATCTCAGTCATGGCCACTGTGGGAGCTTGGCTGGTGGTAGGATGACAGCGTTGCTGACCCCAGCCATTGGATCACCAGGCTCCCGGCAGGTGACGTTTCTCTGAAAGCCCCAGTTCCCGGCATCTGCCACCTTTGGTTTTGTAAAAGTGGATGTTCAGCTGAACAGAGCTTGGCTACGTGAGCCCTGCGGGCCCAGCAAGCGGGCCGTGAGGAGAGACCCTGCGCTGATTGTGCGTTACATCTCACGAGTGCTTTGGGGTACAGCGTATGGCAGTGGCCGGGGTGGGCTGCAACAGGGGTCTGGCAGTGCCGGCTGTCCCAGATCACCCCCTTGCGGCCAGGCAGGGCACCACCGAAGCCCTACCTTGACTTCCCTCCACCCAGGGAAGGAACAAGTCCAAGCAGGTTTTCAGGTATCGAAGCGCATCCCCTTTGGGGGGGGGGGGTGTCTCCTTCACAAATAGGAAATGGCCAACGAAGAACAGACCAAAGACTTTCATCCTGTCAGGGAGACAGAGTCAGTCCCTGGCCCTTCGCCAGCAGGGTCTGCTCAGCTCAGCTCAGCTCCCTTCCCTGGACTCCAGGCTCCTGCCAGCAGCTGGGCAGAATCCTGCGCCTGAGCCAGCTGTCTGCGGACACCTGCCCGTAGCCCCTGCCAGCCTGGGCGCCCTGCCACTGTTTGCAAGCAAGCGTCCTTCGCTGGGAACAGGCCTCCCTGGCGTTCTCCCTGCAGGAATCTCCTCTCCCTAGGTGTGCACCTTCCAGGCCCCCTGCGCCTCGGGGCACAGCACCTTCTGGCCACGGCCACGGCTACGCTATGGGCACGACCGCTGCAGCACCGCTGCTTCCTGTAGTGGCAAAAGGGGTTTTCCATCCACGTAGGCAGCCCACCGCTCTGAGCAGCGATAGAAATTCTTCCACCTGCCTGGCTGGAGCTACACCGGGGCCTCTACCCACCTCATCTTTAAGCATAGACTAGGCCAGGAGAGCCATGTCTTTAGAAGCAGCTTCTCCCTGGGAGCAGGCCCCCTAACGACCCTCTGGTCACCCAGCTCCAGGGGCTCATTTGCCAATTAGCCAGGAAGTGGCCACCTGGGGAATCAGTTACCCCCAAGCAGGCCCTCGGGAGGGAGTAACAGGGGGGCTGGATCCTGACCTCCCTTAGTGGGGGAACTCAGAGTCCAGCCTGCTGCGTTCTGTGCCCTGCTCTGGGAGGGGAGTGAGGTCTAGTGGTTAGAGCGGGGGCAGGCCTGGGCACCAGGACTCCTGGGTTGTGTGCCCTGCTCTGGGAGGGGAGTGGGGTCTAGTGGTTAGAGTAGGGGGGCTGGGCACCAGGACTCCTGGGTTCTCTCCCCGGCTCTGGGAGGAGAGTGGGGTCTAGTGGTTAGAGTAGGGGGGCTGGGCACCAGGACTCCTGGGTTCTGTGCCCTGCTTTGGGAGGGGAGTGGGGTCTAGTGGTTAGAGCAGGGGGCTGGGAGCCAGGACTCCTGGGTTCTCTCCCTGGCTCTGGGAGGGGAGTGGGGTCTAGTGGTTAGAGCAGGGGGCTGGGAGTCAGGACTCCAGGCTGGGTTCTCTGTGAGTGACTCACTGTGTGTGTCTTATATTTCCTCACAGAAACAGCTTTCAAATGATTAGAACTGGGGGTTCCATGCTGACTCTCCCCCCACCCCCAAGCACCTTCCAGCCTTGGCGGGCAGATGTGAGCTGGAGCAGAGCATCTGGGGGCATGCTGAGCTTTTAGGGCACCAAGCTCCCAGCACCAGAAGGTGGCAGCAAATCATCAAAAATTCCTCCCTTTCCATCCGCTCCCTACAGCTGGCGATCCTAGGGCACTGTTGGAGGGAAGCTCGCAGCATTAGCATCCCAGCCGGCCTGGACAGGGCACCGCTGCAAACAGGGCCCTGAATGCTTGCTGAGCATTTGACTTGCCAGAGACAACGTCAACCTAATGGCATGTTTAAGGCCCCTGCCCCTAACCGTGTTTCGGGCATCCGAAGCGTCCAGCAGCCGCAGACGGGGAGGGACGATCTAGTGCTTGGGGCCCAGGACACCGGGGTATTTCCTCGGCCATGCTGCTGCCCTGTGGGTGATGTTAGGCAAACGAGCTCATCGCCCTGGGCCTCAGCTCCTCCGTGCCGGGGCTAACGCTCCTTCCTGGCTGGAGGCAGGGACAGCATCTCACTCCGTGTCTGGGCAACTCACGGCGCGATGGGGCCCCTGAGCTCAGCCGGGCACCCCAGACGCTACGGGAAGACAAATAATAATGTACACAGCGGCGACAGCACCTAAGGCCACAGCCAAATTGGGCCCCGCCGGGCTGGGTGCTGCCCAGGGGCCTGCTCCAAAGAGCTCGGAGTCTGACAGGAGAAATTCCCCAGCAGAAAGAAAGGCCCGGTGCTGGTGTGGCCATGCCGGGACCCCGTGGCAGGGTCAGAGCCAGGACGCAGAACCGGGCAGGCCATTTCCACCGCACGCACAGCCCCAGCTGGCAAGAGGCGGGTCCCAGGGGAGGAGGTTTGGGCGGATGCCTGTGAATGGGGCTGGGGTTAACCTCCGTCCATGGCTCCCGAGCGCATCACAGCACCTACCGGGCCAGGGCCGAGGTGGGCTCCTCTGCTCTGGGGCGTGCAGAACAGGCCCGTGAGATGATGCAGCATGCGCTGTCTGGCCCAGCAGGGCCGCGCCCGGGGCCAGCCCCACCATAGTGCACAGCCGCCCAGTTTGTGACTGACCGGTGCCCTTGAGAACTGGGGCCTCGCTGAGCCGTGGCCTGGCTTGAAGAACACTGGGCTAGCTAAAGGGGGCCAGGCTGCCCAGTGTGAATGCAGCTCGGCGGGGATAGGGTCCCGCTGGCTGCTCCGGTCTGGGGAAGGCCCCTCTGCCCCGCTTGGACTGTGGCCACACAAGGGGTGGGATGGGCTCGCACACTCGGTAACAGTCCCCCCCAGGCACCATGGCTGTAAAGCACCGACCCTGGTGCAGAGCTGCCGGGTCTGAGGGACCAGCGCGTGTGCTCTGACGGGGCCGTGCAGGCTGCGTTCGTTCTGTGCTGCTCCTCTCACTAGGGACTGCCCCAGCGAGCTGCACCCCCCAGTCGTCCCGCTCAGCAGTGCCAGCTCAGGTTGGGCTCAGCTGAAGGCTCGTGCTCTGGCCTGTGGGCACCAGCTTTGCCAGGCCGAGCAGCGTCCAGCTGGGTCAGCGGCTGGCTGGGAGCCTGCCGGTCTCCCTGCAGCACGGGGGTGTGGGGCCACCCAGCACCACAAGGCGCCGCGGGGGGCCAGAGCGTGGGCTGGGCTGTGGGGCTGGCTCCCAGGGCGACGGGATCGGCATGCCAGCTATTCCCCCGCCGGGACGCTGCTCCCATTGTCTGGGCCACGCCTGTCATTCCCCGGCCGCGGCCCCGCCACCTGCACCCACATACCAGCCCCCGTTGCCGTGATGTGGCGAAGACGGGTTGGCGGCTCGGGCCATGAGGCTGTAATGGGATTACGGGGGCTGGGGCGGCTCGGGGCTGGGCCCCCTCCCCTGTCCAGAGACAATGTGAGATGGATGGGCTGGTGGGAAACCGGCCCCAGCCTCCAGCCCGGGAGCGGGGAGGGGGAGGCTCCGGCAGTAGGGTCCCAGCAGACCCCTGAGCAAAGGCTGCTGCCAGGAAGGGACACAGGATCGGGCCCTGTCACCTCACAGCTGCTGCAGCCATGGCTTATAACAAGTGCCAGAATCAAAGCAGGAGTCCTGGCTCCTCGCCCCCTACACCCCTCCCCCTCCCCGAGCCGGGGATAGAACCCAGGAGTCCTGGCTCCCGGC